ACAAGCAGTGGTAGAGGATCTGATGTCTAAGCAGGCCTACAGGATAGAGACATCCTTTATGGCCGCAATGGACAGATTTTCCTCGGAACTGCGGACGCTTTTCCAAGAGAGGATGCCGGCGACCTCGCTCGCAACGCCTCCAAGAGCCGGATAGAGAAGCCAAGAGCGCGAAAGGATCAAGCCTTACGGCGAAAGCAGCAGCCTCGGCATCTCTGGCCGAACCCAAGCGTTAGGTTACGGTCAACATTCGCTGCCGCCGACGAATAGCTGGGGGTAGTCCCAACCCACATGGGCGCATCCTGGACCAAATTACTTGGCAGAGACGGCATACGGACCACTCCATGCTTTGGCCGTATCCTTGGGACAAACCAGCCCCACGCCTTCCGCGGTTCAGCAACTCGGCCCAGTTCACACTACGGCCGTCCAGATCCATCCTGGCCCAAGCAACGCGACCACTGCACCATCACAACAGTACGGTCAGAGCAATCCGACCGTTTCACCACCGTTGCAGGCGTCGTTATTCCCGTTGGGCTCCCACCTTCATTACGGTTCGGCCATTCCGATGGCAACATGCACACACCTTAGCCAAACCCATGGCGCTCATCTAGCGCCAACTAGCTCGGCCGTACCAGCCGAGCCCCCTGTTCAACTGGCCCAGCAGATAAGGCCACAGAACGATGTGCAATAGGTCCCGCGTCCGTGTGCGGCCCAGCAGGAAACGCCCCCTCAGGGGCTCCGGTTTCGAAGATATCCTGTGTATGACCGAGGACGGCTTAGCTCAAAGGCGGCCGGAGACACCAGTATACACTGAGCCGTGTTTATCAAGGAAACCCAGGGCTTGGAGCGACTTGCTCCCTAAGGCTTTTTGGGCACACTGCACATCGAAACACTCGGTCGTGGACACGTCTCCTTACTACAGCTATGACACCGATAAACTAATGGGGCTGAAGGTTCGATTTCTTCAAGTTATCAAGCGACTTGGCCAAAAGGTGAAGGACTGAGCGCAAACCATGCCCCAGGGTTTAGAAAAGTTAAAACAGTCAGGACTCGACGCTTACGGTTCGGTGCAATGTTTGTGCCTGATAAATCCGGGGATGTGGGGGTAATGTTTGTGCTTGATAAATCACGGTCGAACACTGACCGAAGGGGTTTTCCCCCCTCGGCTTCAGCACCTATTCGCGATCCAAAACGCGGGGCTTTTACCTTCCTCAAAACAAAGGAAAAGTTGCGAAGGCATAGTCATCTCGGCCTTACAAACACGATATCGTCAGGCCGAGGCCGAAGGACGAAGGGGACACGGCCGAAGATATTAAGAGTCAAATCATCACATGGCAGCAGGGTCCCACGCTTCATTTAATGAAGTAACGCCTTTGACTAGCAAACCCACTAGCCGCAAAAGGGCATTTAATGCACGAGGGAAGAAGGGAAGTGACTGAAGTCAGGATTTGGTGACAGAAGTCCGAGTGGTTAGGCGCAAACATACTTACCAATATTCTTACAAATTGAGGTCAGATCACCAACCACCAAACAAGGGCATTAAATGCGTCCCCACGGCCAGAAGCGCAGAACCCACGATCAGGGCGGTGGCCGAGATTTACCAGGATTCATGGGGTCACACCACCATGCTTCACAATCCCAAATGTCGATTGGACTACCCACTTGCTCTGATCAGGCTCCACCATGCAGATTTTCAGC